TTTTTTTTTTTTTTTTTTTAGTGCGGGGTTCAAACCCAGTGCCTTGCTCATGCTAAGCAAACACTTTACCACTGAGCTACACCCCCATCCTAGTTTGAGTTCTTAAGTGGTGGTGCTATTTGTGGAAATACGAAATATAGGCAAATAGCAGATTTCAGTATTCTTTCATTTGTTCACTTATTCACAGACATTTATTAAAGGTATATTATATGCTGGGAATAGAAAGTAAATACATGACTACAATGTCTTCTAATGTCATTGACAGAAGTGTATATATAGGGAAGCAACTGAAAAATAGGGCAGGTATATAAATCACCCTGAGTAATTAGGGGAAGCTCCTGAAAGAGATGATATCTGACCTAAACTTTTTAAAAATTGAGATGAATGTCATATAAAATTAATTCACTCGCATTTAACATATTGACAGTTATTCAATCATCTCCTCTATGTAGCTCCAACTAGTTTTGAAAGATAAGTAGGAGTTCACTAGATTAAAAAAAAGGAGGAAAGCATTTGAGGATATGAGAACAGTGTGCTTGATGACATCAAGGCCAGAAATTTCATGATAAGGGGAGGCAAATGGGGGAGTGGTAGAAGACAGGGCTAGAGAGGGCCAAGTAATAAAGCATATTATCCAAGTTTTAACTTGATCTAGAAGGCTTGGCAAGCCTTCAAGTTATGCTAAACTGGGTTTTAATATGAATACATTTGCCTTTCAGAAAGATTATTCTGGGGCTGGTGGAGTGGCTCAAGTGGTATAGCACCTGCCTAGTAAGTGTGAGGCCTAAGTTCAAGCCTCAGTACTAAACAGAAAGATAACTCTGGAAACAGTTGGGAAGAACCAGGGAATCCAGGTAAAAGGTGAGAAAACTCTGAACAAGGTAATGGTAGTAATAGAAGAGGAAACTGAAAAAAAAAGATGGAAAACTTATATGACTTGATGATTGATAGGACAACGGGCTAGAGGAAAAAGCAAAGGGTGATTCCTATCATTCTACCTTGGGTGAGTGGAATAATGATGAGGCATCCTGGCAAAATTCTGGGGGAAAATGATCAGTATAGTTTGGGTGGGTTGAATTTGTTTCTACAGGTTCAATTAAATGAAGTCTTAAGTACCAATTTCCTTCATGGATCTGAACCTCAGCAGAGAAATATGGGCTACAGACAAAGTTGAGAATTTTCTTTCTGTTGGTAAATAAAGCCATGAATTTGGACAAAGTGACTCAAGTAAAGGGTACAGAAAAAGTTGAACAGAGAACCTAGGACTTAGCTTTAGGAACCAATATATAAGATATGCAAAGAGGATAGAGCTATATAGTTCAAAGGTGTGCTAATACTGAGGCCAAGATAGAGTTTAGTAAGAAGGGGAAGAAAAGGGGAATGGAGATGAAAAAGGAGAGAAGATGGGGGCAGGGGGAAATGTTGGTCTAATTTGAACGGGGAAAGAGATGGAAGTCTGTGGGCCAATGATATTGCTCAGACTATATTATTGGCACTAGGGCCCCCATAGATCACACAAATTACTCCACTCCAAAATAGGCAATTTATTTCTCCATAAATTTCTTAGAAACAATTTTCCAAGTACATACAATTTCTTCTCAAAATAATTTTATGGAATGAAGACAAATGCTCACCAGTTATGGCTTACATTCCTTCAAGAAAAGGTTTTTATAAAATCCCCTGCATCATCCCTCTTCTAGTTCTGAGGCCTAAACAAGCATCAGTTCTTGAGCCAAAGAGAGGGAAGAAGGCAAAACTTTGAGCTCTACTGCCAGTCAGGAACCATCTCCATTTTTTTTTTTTTCTTTAATTTGGTCCAGAAACTCTCCTTCGGTTTCTTAAGACTAACTCTTCACAGCTACCTCCTTTTGCTACCCAGGGCCAGCAAAATATTCACTCCAAACCTCCCATATAAACCTGAAAAAGGTTCTCTTCGTGGGAATACGGCCAAGTGGGGCTCTGGGAAGGTATATGGTCACTCCGGATATGGGAGGCTGGGCCCTGAGTAAGATTATTTAGGTCTTGTCTTCTTTTTCCCTCCCCACGCTGTCTGTCTTTACTCCCTACTTCCACATTTTGCTTGTCTGGATTAAAGCTTAGAAAGGATGGTAGAAGGGAAGTCTGAGGTTGCTTTTTCTTGAAATGTTGCTAAGTACAGAGTAACAGATATCTGGGGCTCTTCTTACCTCCTTTCTTGCCTTACCTGGCACAAGTTTTGGGGAATGAAGAGCTGGTCCCCATAGTGAGAGTGGAGGAACATGTTTATGCTGGCTTCCCAGGGACTTTAATCCACCCTTACTAAACTCCATGGGAGGGAAAGCAATGACTGACTTGGGCTTTCCCTAAGGGTCTCTACTTTTTTTTACATAGACTACTTGCTTTTCTTGGCTATCTTGAACTTCTCTGTCTTGCCAGATACGATGAGGGCCCCAAAGCCCTGTTTGTGGGAGAATGCATAAGCAGAGCGTCGACTACTCGGGTGTTTCATTCTGACCCGGACTGGGGGTGACAGTGGATGTTTCATGCAATGTCGAATTCTGCCAAAAACCTGTATCCAGAGCATGGGAGACAGGGTTTTCATCTACAGAGGCAAATGCACAGAGGATCATGAATTATTACATCTAGGTAGATTGTTCCACTCACCTTGTCCACACTGAGAGGCCAGAATAGTGGTTTGAGAAATTGGTACCCTATTACAGGAACCATACAGAGGACCACACTGAGGATAAGACAAAGCCACATTTGTGGCTGGTTCATAACATTCCTGGCTACACCTGTAAACAATGAGACAGGAGAAGAAAGGCTGAAACAGAGCCTAGAGTAATGGGTAGGGTCAGGACTGGGAGGTATCAGCAGAACCTGGATACCTCTCTAAAGAAGGAAATTATTGATTTGGAGACAGTCTGGTCTCCTGTGAAAAGAACTGCATTTATGTCCTTTGCACAGCCAAAGTCACGGTGAATTCACATGCCTTTGTCTTCCTCTAAAGACAGGGCAGGACGGGGGACTGGGAGTAGATTATGAGGGAATCCTTGTGCATTTGCCTGGATGCAAAAATGGAACAGAAGACTATGGGGAAGAAAAATGAGTTAGTGGCCTGACAATAGCTAGCTAGGAGCCAAGTACATAGCTACTCTCTCTGTATTTTGTCCTCATCTGAGTGGAGGTGAGAGAAAGGGGAATTAGGAGACAGTAAGGCAGCATGTCACAGCATGAAAACCAAAGCTGGAATCAGGAGCTCTATATTGAGTCATTTAAAAAAATCTCTGGTCTCCAAAATGGTGCTAATAATTCTTGCCCTGTCTACCCCTCACAGGATGCTTGTGAAGATCAAACTAGGTATGTGAAAAAATCCTGGAAACTGTTAAGATAAAATATTTTCCTAACTAGATTTTGAGCTCCTTTAGGGCAGAGACCATTTCTTTTTTATTTTGTTTTATTTATTTATTTATTGAAGTGCTGGGGTTTGAACTCAGGGCCTCACACTTGCTGGGCAGGTGCTCTACTACTTGAGCCATACCTCAGCCCAGAGACCATTCATATCTCTATCCACAGGGCCTACAACATAGTACGGCTTCTCGGTAAACATTCGTTAAATAAATATACTTGCTTAATCCCCCACCCTTACCTGCTGGATAGGGCCTTACCTAGGAAATGGAAGATGCTGGGGAACAATACACACAAGCCATCACTGTACAGGAAGAATAATATGCAAAAGTAGACACCCAGGCTACCCCAGATGAAGAAGTGGCTTATCATCGTCCAGTAGGTTATCTTCAGGGCAATCTGAAAAGCACTAGTTTATGTGCAATACTCTAACCTGGGACTTATCAGCCACCTCCCTTCTCTAGTTCTGTAATGGAGAATGCTCCCTTCCCGCCCTCCTTCCCCCCTTACCTCCCTCTGTCTTCAGACAGGCTCACCATCCAATCCCCTAACTCCCACCACCACTGGTCACACCTGTACCGTGACCACCCAGATCAAGGTGGTCTGCACTATCAGAGAGAAGGACTGGAAATCGGAGAGGTCCCTCCCATCATTGCGTTCTGAGTCGTAAATGGTCCCCATGGGGACAAAGAACAGCACGAAGGAACTGTAGATTCCATGCACTAAGCACTTCATAAATTCCTTCTTGTTGAAATAGAGGTTGTGCTGGCCTGGCTCATATAACTCTGGGAAACGTTGGCTCCATGTTTCATTCACATCCTGGAAACACCAGAGGGTAAGGAGGAAGGTTCAGGGTCTCTTCATAGAAAGGTTCCATCTGCATCAGAGTAGAGGCTTCTCCCCTCACTGAGTCTGCTGCCAGGTTGCCTAGGTGCTTCCTCATTGAGTACTTGAGAAGCGGAACCAAAGAACAGAGCAGAAGCAGAACCACAGACCCTTCCTGAAGTCCTCCTGTCTAGGCAGGGATCTGGGTAGTAGAACAAAGCTTGGAGAAGGTCAGGATGACAGGAAGCACTTGGAGGTAGTTAGGTTCAGGAAGTTGTGAAAAGAGGTAATTTGGCTCAGGGGTAGATGGAAGGGAAGACTGGAGCTTGGGATGTGGGAGGCACAGGACATGTTTCCCAGTTTCATGTTCTTTTACTTAAATATTTTTTGTGTCAAAAGCCAGTCAGGGGAGAAGAGAAAGCCAATGGTGGTCAGTTAGTCCCTTGAAGTACTGATGGTCTGTGATGCTCCTCCCATTCCCATAACTACTGGGGAACTCAGGTGGGAGAATTCTTTGGGAGGATGATATTGGCTCATCTTCATCTCCTAAATTTGAAAGTTAAAATAACAAAGTTTGGGGCATGGCTTCATAGCTAGATCCCTAGAATTAGATCATTGAAGAAGGATAGTACTGTTGAGTAACACAACAGTACTATTTGAGGTTGACAGCTACTTCATGGAGAATTTCTTTTAGAGCTAATACCCTGATGGAGATACGTGCCATGATCCCATGATGTCCTATTCAGCTACTTTATTCCTCTTTGGAGAGAGGCTCCTTTTCTACTGCAGTGCCCAGTAGTGGAGGCTAAGGTAGAAGAGGATGGAGGAAGGGTACCAGGAACCTTAGTACACAGGAAATTTCTGACAGGGACAGAAGCTATCCCCTGAGCTAGCTCCCCATAACATCAGGTTCCATACTCATACTCCCAGGCTTGGCCTTTTGGACACCCATCTAGACCTTCCAGCATTGGCTTACCTCATCATTATTATCTCTGAATGAGCCTCTCTCTCCTTTCTAGAGGCTCCTTGCTTTATCCAGTCCTGCCTCAATAACGCTTATGTCCTTTCACTACTTTTGTACACACTCAATTTACTGCACAATATAATTTCCATATTTCCCTCTACAAAGATAAAATTGAGACAGGAAAATGTGGCTTCCTAAAACTGATGATTATTTTCTGTGGAGGAGAATTCTTTACTTACTTTCATGATACTTATCCAAGTAGTGAGTTCTTTCCCTTGATCTATAAATTATACCCATTACACTTGATTTTTCAGAGTTCAACTCTTGCTGTCTTCCTCACTGTCTGAGTCCAGGAGCTTCAACCCTAAGAGGCTTGCTTCTGGATCTTACCTGATCAAACAGACTCATGCCCAGGACAGGGAGGGAGGTGTAGATCAAATTGTAGCAGGTGATAAACCAGGTATCATAAACTGTCTGTAAGAATACAAGGAGATTTTTCAACTCCATTCTCCAAAGTCCAAGCTCCACCTCTCAGGTCCAAGACAACCTTCTGGCCCCTAACTACCCACTACCATACTAACTAGAGCAATATTTGGATTTCAGAAACTGAGAGTCTCAGTTTCTATTTGATCCTGCTGAATTCAGAAGGGTTGGGGCTGAGGCAAGGCTACACCAAACTTTCAAGACTGATCTAGACAAACCCTCCATAGCTTGCATGGTTCCTCCCTACAAAGAAAGGACCCAGAATGGCTGCTAGGGAAGGCTGGCTGTACCCCTACATTCATAGGCAAGTATACCTTTAGGCTTTTTTTCTTTATCTGTATGGTGGCATTTAGTGGCTTCTGTAACACTGCACATCTGACACTTGCAAGAATAAACTCAATGCCCCTTTTCTATTTGGGTGCTCCACCCTGGGGCATGGAGAGGGTTCCTTTGCTTACTATCCACAAGAGGTCAGCAGCAACACATGTATCACACACAACTTTCACAAACCAGACTGGCTTCTCCCACAAACCAGACTGGCTTCACTAGGTACCAAGGGTATACAAGTCTAGCACAGTCTGCTGACTGGTTGTAGGGATCATCCAGGCGAATCATTCCTGAGGTTGTTTCTCTTGGGGAACTTTGGAAGACTTCTAAAAAACTTCTCATAGGATAAGAGACTCCTCTTAGAACATCAAAATCCAGGTGTCACTCTTCCCCACTAGTGTCATGGAGATTTCATATGCAAATATGGAATTAATTCATAAGAGCAACAGTTGCTGTGTGTGTTGGAACAGGGAGTCAGGCTAGAGGAAGAGAAGTAAAGGGAAGTTGTAGTTCCAAGTATGACTATGGAACAGGCTAATAGCCTGCCTGGCATGACCTTGAAGCTTCAACTGTTCCATAAAGATTACTTTGGATACTAAGAAAACTTCAGATCCAGCGATTTTCCCGCCATTACGTATGTTTGGAAACTCTAGTACCAATGTTGGGGAAAAGATGAAAGTAGCTGATGGGAGAGTTCTGAAGGTAGGAGTCAAGACCAAATCACAGCCACACCAAAGGGTTATCATTTGAAAATTTAAGGTTAGTGTAGGCTTGGGAGATGGGATCAGCATGGGATTAAAAAATAAAATTTAAAAATTTTTTTGCAGTACTTGGGATCAAACCCAGAGCCTTGCACATGGTAGGCAAGTGTTCTACCATTTGAGCCATGCCCTCAACCCATACATTGGTCTCTAGAGAAAAAGATCTGAGCTGGCTGAAGTAAGGGTGACCAGAGTAGACCCAGTTAACTAGAGTGGAAAATACCACCTAATCTCCTACCTGTGCAGAGAACCCATTGAAGAAGGCATACCAGAAGTGCACCAGGGTGAAGGCAAAGTTCTTGTAAAAGAAGTAGCTGAGAAACTTGCACATGCGATTATAAGACCAGCGGCCATGGACCAAGAGTAGACGCTGAAGGTAGTGGAACTGGGAGAAGGCAAAGTCACTGTTGAGCATGGCCTGCATCCCCTCCTGGCCGCTGATGCCAACCCCAATGTGGGCAGCTGTAATGAAACCCAGAAGCTTCTAAGCCTCAGAGCTTATTGCTGGGGTCCCACCCACAGAAGTATAATGAACCCCTTATTTTGCATTTGGAAAATACTGCCAGTTCAAAATGATGCTTCCCTAAAAAAAAAAAAAAAAGAAAAAAGAAAAAAAATGACACTTCCTTAGTGGTCTCTTTTCTCCTTAATGAGTTGCCTCTCTTTGTGCCCCCAACAAATTAGAATATAGCCCATTCTTCTGCACTTTGTTTTGGATACTGTCACTCAAGAACGCCTAGTACAGCTAGTCCTCGAAAGTTGTCTCAGATGTCCTTTGCCCCTACTCTAGCCATCTGGGCTCTTTCCACTGTCCAGATATTGAGATGTTAAATTTCTTGTTATCTATGGAAGCCACTTGAATCAATTGAAGAAGATCAATTGAAGAAGACCAATTGCAAATAGGGGGAATGCTGGTACAGAGAAACATGAATGGAGTTGCAAAACAGTACAAACAGGTAGGAGTATGAGCTAGCAACACAGTACCACCCAGATCATTTGCCCACGAAAGAAGGGGCACGCCATGGCTGGGGACTACTGCTCCCCTCCCCTCACATGCCTTTGATCATGCTGACGTCATTGGCCCCATCCCCGATGGCCAGTGTCACCACCTTCTTGTACCTCTTCACCAGCTGTACCACCTGGGCTTTCTGAAGGGGTGTCATCCGGCAGCAGATCACCCCCTTGCACATGCACGCTGTTCGCAGCAGTTCCACCTCCAAGTTCCCTTCTAGAGCATAGGCCTATGGAACCAGAGCACACATACTCTTCAGGTCTCCCCAGAAGACTCTTAAGGCAAGATCTTCCCAGATCCCTCCCCTTTTCTTGATATTCTTCTGTCCTTCACACGGCAGGCATAGTTGTTTCCCAGGTATGCCACCCCAAAGAGAGGTTCACTGCCAAAGTCAGTTCTAGGAATCCTTACATCTGACTCAGCATCGAATGGGAAACTGGTCATGGCCTCTTACTGGGTAAAAATCAGTGGGTGGGGCTATGAGGCCAAGTGACTTCTTGGAAGGCCTGATTTTACTTGATCTACAACTTCTCTAAGTGACCAGCCACATCAGTAGTGAAGAATTTAGATGAGGAAAGAATTTGCTTTGGCTTCTCTTTATTTACTCCTGCCTAGAGTAGCCTTGGGAAATGTGTCTTTCAGGCAAGGGCACCTGAAGGAGGAGGAATAGAATAACACAGAATAGAGAAGGGGTCTTGACATTTCCCTGGAGTGGGTTGGACCTAAGAAGAGAGTTCCTTGGAAGAAGAGAACAGAGTTGTAGTTCTGTGTTGCCCACCAGACTGTAGCCATTGATGATCAAGCCATAGTTGCCATTGGGCTCCTCTTCAGGTATTCTGAAGGGCATTTTGGGTTTCTCTGTGAGGTAAATGTTTATGGGATCTGATTCCAGAAGAGACTCAGGTTTCATCTTGCCCCTTGCTGTCCTGAAAGCCAAGAGTAGTGGTCAAAGTCTGACCTGAAGCCCCAGAACATAAGAAAGAAAATGTGTCCCAGGTGAAAGTGGGCAAGTGGAGTACAGCAAAGCCTGCAGGACCTGCAAAGCCAGGCAGAACCTCAGACTCAACAACTACTGCTGTAGGTTGCTGACTATCCATATACCACACTTCTCTATCCCCACACTCCAATTCCTTTAATCTGAATGCTTCTTTCAGAAGCATTCTCTCAAATTCTCTCAAATATTTCAGGGGTTTTTTTGTTTCCCATCTTTCATTTCTTCTCTGTTCCTTCTGGTAATGTGAGGTTCACATTGGGGGTAGATGTGAGTTATAAATCTTAGATTCAGGGATTGACTGTGGCCACTGTCCCACATGTACCTGAGTTCTTGGCGAATTGTCTCACTATCCTTGCCTTTCACCGTGAATACTCCATCCATTTCATCCTCTAATATATTACAGGAATAGGCAATGTTCACAGCAGTCTCTGCAGGGAAGGAAACACAGGTCTTATTTTTGCTGGCATTTATAGATAGGAACAGGGTCTTCACTTATAGATAGGGACAGGGTCACACAGACTCTAATGGTGGACTCAGAGCCCATTTGTTCACATTTACCTTGAATGTACTTAAAGCATGAAGCATTAGAGACTATATTAAAACAGCCACAAGTGTCTAGTTGATATAGACTTTTGAGTGATTTATTAATAACTAGGATCATTCAGACTTAGCCTTCTCTGGAAAGTCTTTCCTATTTTAGAAAACAATTCCAATCTGCATCCACTTCTTTAGACAATCAGGATGTGTTTCTTTGAACAGCACTGTGCCCATTTCTATGCTAAATCTTATTTGGGACTGAGACATGTTTAAGTTGTATCCTTACTTTATCTTAAGAAACCTAGAATTTGGAATAAATTCATACTAAGGAAGAAAAATTTAAAAAATTAAGTACCTAATCCTGACTACAAGTGGTATGAGAATTCAGAGGACAGATTGCAATTGTCCTAGGAACTTTCTTGCAGTAAGACCTTGAACAATTAATAAGACTGTTTAGGGGAAGGGAAAGGTATTTCAAGTGAGGAAGCAACCCAAACTGTAGGCCCTAGAGTAGGAATTGGATTGTTTGGGATATACTGAAAACAATGATCACATTAGGCTGGAGACAGGGATACAGGATAGCAATAGATTATCAAAGTTTTGAAAGCTAGACAGAGGAGTCTGACCTTTACATTATGGAGTCACTATAGGATCCTGAAACCAAAGTACTATCATAAAATTAGAGCATATGAAGATGACTAAGCTGATGCTTATTTGTAGGCAATGCTGACATTAATAATGGCAAGAGACAGAGAGTTCAGGCCAGAAGTTTTTGTAGAAGTACAAATAACAGGGGATGATGGCCTAACTAGGGTAGGAGCAGAGTCGAGCATTTTCAAACAAATTAGTGGGACCTGGAAAGAAAATGAATCTTTGGACAACAGAGAGGTAAAAGCAAACTCAGCTTTAAATTTTTTTAGCTTGTATGTTTCTGGCTGACATGTTATGTCTCTGTGTCTTTAATAAGTAATATAGCATCTGACCTGCTCACTAAATTGTATATAAGGACTTGCTCTTTTTTTTCCAGAACTGGAGTTTGAACTCAGGGCCTCATGCCTGCTCATTTCCTAAGCAGGCCTTCTACCACTTGAGCCACTCCACCAGTCAAGGACTTGTTCTTAGTTACAGATATTTGTCAATAAAATTGCTAAGAAAAAAAGGAAAATGAAGAAGGAAAGAACAGGCTCACATGGGTGGGGAAAAGGATTGATTGCTTAGGCTAGGAGCTTCCCTTTACCTTGCTTATCGCCAGTTAAAATCCATATTTTAGTTGTGGCTTTCCTTAGGGTGATGATTGTCTCAGGTACTTTATCTTGCAGCTTGTCTTCTATGGCTGTGGCCCCTAACAGCTTCAAATAGAGATACCAGTGAGTGAGGAAAGGAAGAGTGTCACAGCATTTAGTGCTGCCTAACAACTGATTGGATGCCTCAGCATTCTTCCATAAGCTGACTCTGTCCTGGAATGAGGACCTCTGAGGGATAAAACTCAGCACCCTCTGCCTTTCAACACACACAGCTTTTCAGCCATGTACTGAAATCAAATTTAGAAATGGTATTAGGGACCAGAGAGGGAAGAGGTTTGAGTCATACATGCAGCTATGTGTTACTTTTACACCATCTGTTTTTCCAATATGCCTTCACTTTTCCCTTGCTCCATATCATACTTCTTGGCCTAAAAGCTGATGAGTCCCAGATGATGGATCTCCATACCTTACTCCTGTTTTTCTTTCAACCCTGCAAGGGCTTGAAGATACTTCATTGTTTGTACTCACTGGGGCTCTCTAAGTTTCAAGATATTTTTTCCCCACATTAGATTAAAAGAATCTTGGCCCAGCATCATGCTTTCTCTTTATAATACCCCAAACATGCTGACACAGGGATGGGTAAAAGGACTAAATCTAAGGAACTGCCAGGTAGACAAACTATTGAACAATTTCTGGTAACCCTCTAGAAAGACTGACAACTGTGGGAGGAAATTTGGGATCTCTACATTTTTCTTTTGGTGTCACTGGATTCTCTTTTTATAGCAGAGCCAACTTCTTATCAGTCTGCTTAAAAAAAAGTTTGGGTCATCCTTAACTTCTCAGCAAATTCTGTTAGTTCTACCTTTAAAATCATACAAAATTTGGTCTTTTCTTACCACTCCCATTACTTTTTCTTCTTCTTCTTTTTATTTTTTGGATGTACTGGAGTTTGAACTTAGGGCCTCATGTCCTCATGCTTGCCAGGCAGGCGCTCTACCCCTCAAGCAACTCGCCAGTCCTTTTTTTGGAACTGGGGTTTGAACTTGGGACTTCACACCTGCAAAGCAGACACTCTACCACTTGAGCCACACCTCCAGTACATTTTGCTGTGAATATTTTGAAGATGGGAGTCTCATGAACTATTAGCCCTGGCTGGCTGGCCTTGAACCATGATCCTCCTAATCTCAGTCTCCCAAGTAGCTAGGATTACAGGTGCGGGCCACTAGTGCCCAACCACTTCCATTAGTACTGTCTGGTCCAAAACCATCATCTCTCACTTGTACTATTCCAACTACCAATTAGATGTTCTCCCTTTGCTCCCTAATAGTTGTAATGTCAACATAACAGCCAAAGTAATGATTTTAAAAGTTATCACATCACTTCTCTGGTTGAACTCTTTCATGTTTTCATGGTTTCCTCTATTTTCTCATTCTGGCCTATGACAACCTTCTTCTCACATCCTTTTATTTCCACCCCCTCAGTTACCCTGTTCTAGCCATACTGGCTGCCTTAAGTACTAGTCAGGCCTACTCTTGGGTCAGGATCTTTTCTCTTGTTATTACTCTATCTGAAAAGCTCAAGTGAAAAGAAAGAGAGCTGTTTGGCTTGCTGCCTTCTTCAGGTCTCTTCTTAGATGTTTTCTTCACAGTGAAGACTAACTGCTCTATTTAAATAGCAATAATGGCTGGGTGTGATGGCTCACACCTGTAATCTCAGCTACTCTGGAGGTGGAGAACAGGAGGATTGTGGTTTGAAGCCAGCCTGGGAAAAAGTTAGTGAGATAACATCTCAACAAACAAGTCAGGCATAATCCCAGCTATGAAGGAGGCAGAGGCAGGGGAACTGCAATCCAAGGCCAACCTGGGCAAAAGTGAGACCCTACCTGAAAAATAAACAAAAGCAAAAGAGTCTGGGGGTATGACTCAAGTGGTAGAGTACCTGCCTATCAACTGTGAGGCCCCAAGTTCAAGACCCCAGTCACTGCCTCCCACAAAAGCAACAATACCTCTGCCCCCTCCAAAACACACTGCACATGCTGACACACTCTCTCTTCCTGGCTTTATTTTTTTCCTGGAGCACTTCCATCATCCAGCGTATTATGTACATTGCTTTTTATTTGTGTTTTCTTATTGCTATAGGCACAGTGTCCAGTACAACATAATAAATATGCTGAATGAACCAGTGAATATTTCTGTCTTGATTATACTATCAATTCATTCTGGATTATCTAATCTGTGCATTACTCAGATCTTGATTGCTCCCAGATTACTTAAATTCTGTGTGCATCCTGGGGATTAGAAACGCTGCCAGTGCATTTTCAATTGTGGATTCAGAAGATCCAGAGATACTGAATCAGCCTGAATTCCCACACCCAGCCTCCCTGGCACAAAGCTTTGGAACTCTCCTGCTGAACCTGCCTGTCTGTCTCTCTCACACACAACCTGCGTGTGTTGATTCCCAGGAGCCCTTGCTTAAGCCTACTGGCTGCCCCCACCCCACTGCCAGCCCCCAGTCTGTCCCTGATTTCTTCACACTCACCATCAAGTCTTTTTCAATCTCTTCATAGACAAGTGACAATTTATTCTCCCGGTTCTCCAGAGACAGGTAGGCTTCACTGTGCTTCTTGCTCCAGCTCTTGAAATACTCATGGTCCAACTCTCGGTAGGCCACCATGAGGGTACGCAGGCCTTCAGAGGCAAAATCCTGGAAGATGTATGTACACCAAAGACGAGCAGGGTTAAGGCTGTGAAGGGAATGGCAGACTAACCCAGAGGTCCCATCTGCCAGCCAAATAGGGTTTAATGGTTAGCACCATTGTGGAGGAGGCCTCCATTTTAAGGAGACATGGTGAACAAAGGAATACCAAGGGATGCATGAAATATGGGAGGTGTATCGGGCCTGCTGGGGGGCCCAGATGGAATGTGGAAGTAAAAGCCAGCTCAAGAGATGTTCCTGTGCCCATGAAATCAAACCATGATCCAAGGAAGAGACAACCAATCAGTAAGGGCCACAAAAAGGGAGCCAGTCAATCAAAAGTAGTCTAACCTGAGTTATAAAACCTCTTCTCAACCCTGTCTATGCTCCTTTATATAACTGCCCACTGTTGTCTTCTCTTTAAATGGTGTCCTAATAAATCTTTGCTCTCTGACTTGGTAAATTCTTTTACCAACACATGGCTCCCCAAATTCATGACACCATGGGTTTAGTACTTATTCTAAGCAGAAAGCAACTTTGAATTTTTTTTTTTTTGTGGTGGTACTGGGGTTTGAACTCAGGGCCTTGCACTTGGTAGGCAGGTTCTCTGCCCTTGACCCATACTCCAACAGAAAGCAGCTCTTGAACTTAGCAAAATGTTCCAAGGATGGGATCAGCATAGGCTAGAAGATTGAGAATACATTTAAGAGACTAAGAGAGAAGGTTCTAGCTTTAAGCTACAGTTTACTTATAATTAGCTAAACTTGCTAAGTGGCTCTGGGAAAAAGCAAGACTTCTAGGTTTCTTTCTTATAAAATTGAAGTAATAGTTCACCCCCTACAAAGAAGATGATGACAACTATGATACAAAAAGGAAGGGAAGAAAATGTAAAAAGAAGTTGTCATAAAAAGACAAGGTATTACTATTTTTTGCAAACATACATTCATTTAAATTTCCCTCCCTTCCTTCCTTCCTTCATTAGATATTCAATGGATATGTTACACATCACATGTTTGTATATTTATCTACATCTGTTAGCTCAGTGGATAAGTCTTTACCAGATGTATTAACTTTTCACTGCCAGTCTGTGGAAATGCTCTCTAAGAAGGTACCCCAATTCATGTGTTCTGGAAGGTTAAAAGGTAAGAGTAGGCCATAAAAAATACTATGGCCTCTGGGAACCAGTGTAAGATATATGAGTTATCTTTACCCCTTTTAAGCATACAATTCAGGGCCTTTTATTTAGCATATTCATAAAGTTTGTACAAACATCATCATTAATTCCAGAACATATCCATCACCCACAAAAGAAACACCTGTCCATTAGTAGCAGTCATTCCCCATTGCTTTCTTTTCCTGCTCTATGGCAACCACTAATTTATTTTTTATCTCTGTAGGTTTGGCTAGCCTGGACATTTCATAAAAATGGAATCATAAAATACATTACCTTTTGGCTCCTTTTGCTTAGCATTATGTTTTCAAGGTTCATCTAGGTTGTAGCATGTATCAGTGCTTCATTCCTTGTCATTGCCAAATAACATTGCTTTGTACAAATATACCACATTTTATTTATTCATCTGTTGATAGATACTTGGTATGTTTCAACTTTTTGGCTATTATGTGAACACTCAGATACAAGTTTCTGTTTGGATGTGTATTTTCATTTCTCTGGAAGTATAAGTAGGAATGGAATTGCTGGGTGATATGATAGTGAGGCCGGCTAGAATTAGGGAAAATTTGGGACTAAGATTCCTCCCCAAAGAGCTCCACTGTAATTACAATAAGTTAGAAAGAATGGGAATTTCTTCCTTATGGGAAGGAAACATAGGCACATGGGAAGTAACATAGGCACATGGAGTCTGCCAGCTTTCCCCTTGGCTCTAAGGTCAATGGAGCCAGGTAATGACATGCCCTCAACTGGCTTGGGAACCACCCATTCCCCTCCCCACTCATTGATTATTGGATGGAAATCACCCGGTTCCTCCCTTCTCATAAGTTATTGTAGGTTTTAAAAGTACCTGAAGAGGAGAAGCTCTCTTTCTCTCCCCTCTCTCTCCTCTCTTTATCTCTCTGCTTCTGGCTTCCACCTGGGCCCCACTACCATGCTCCCTTTGTATTTCCCTTCCCTAACTTTTAATAAACTCCATTTACACCCATGTGTCCTGCCATGGATTCTTCCATGTGGGACAAAGATTACACCAACACCATTAACAATAGCTCTATTCTTAACTTTCTTAGGAAATGCCAGATGGTTTTCCAAAATGGCTGTGCCATTTTACTCTTCCATTAGTAATATATGAAGGTTACAATTTCTCTCCATCTTTGTCAACATTTGTTATGACATGGTTACTTTTTTATTTGAGCTATCCTAGTGGATATAAATTTTGTGTTTTTGATTTGCATTTCTCTAATGATAATGATGTTGAACATATTTTCATATGCTTACTGGCTATTTGTTTTCTGACTTCTGGTTATGTGTTAACAGAGTCATGCACAAATAGCCTAATAAAATAGCATTTCCTCTAATCTATTTCATTTTATACTTATCTATCTATCTATCTACCTATTTTGGTAGTACTGGGTTTGGTACTCAGGGCCTCACACTTGCTAGGCAGGTGCTTGTAATTTTGCCTGGGCCAGCATGGACCACAATCCTATTTATGAAACTGTGTAGCTGACATGAGAGGCATGAGCCACCACTCCCTGCTTATTGGCTGAAATGGGGACTTGCTAATCTTTTGCCTGGGTTGGCTTCAAACTGCAATCCTCCAGATTTCTGCCTCCTGAGTGGATGGGATTGGGAGCACCACTCCCTATTATAAAATATTTTTTGATTTGACCTTTCCCCCATCCTGGTTCTTGTTCTCTCCTTAGTCCCCTAACCTTTTATATTCCAGATTTAGGGGTAGAAACCTGAATGGATGCATTTGGTTTTCCTTTCTTATACCAGCAGGCTGAGGCCATTATCTTTTTTATATATCCCAAATCCTAGAGGGCAGAAGTAGATTAAAATAGGGAGAGGGGAGGTGAACTATTCTGATTTTTTAAGTGCTCCTACAGATACTATATTCATCATGTCTCTGGGGTTCTGTCCCACCCAACTCTTTTTTTTTTTTTTTTTTTTGGTGATACTAAGTTTGTTTTTGTTTGTTTTGTTTCAGTACTGGGTTTGAACTCACGGCCTCCACCTTGAGCCACTCCACCAGCCCTTTTTTGTGATGGGTTTTTTTGAGATAGGGTCTCACAAACTATTTGCCTAGGCTGGCTTTGAAACGTGATCCTCCTGATCTCTGCCTCCTGAGTAGCAAGGATTACAGGCATGAGCCACTGGTGCCCAGCAATACTAAGGTTTGAACTCAGGGCCTTGCACTTGCTAGGTAGGTACTGTACCACTTGAGCCACCCCCTCAGCCCACCCAAAATGTTGATATAGAAGTTGGAAATGTGGTCAATGAGAATAACACAGAATGAGATAGTTTTATTCTTTTACCAACTAAAGAGACATAAATGCCAATATACACACCCATACAGCAACACTGACACAGGGACATATTTGTGAACATGTATCTAGATGCAGAGAATCACCCATGCTTTTGTCTCCTGCAGTCTAAACACTTACATCTAAATGTTCCATGGTCACATCACTAAGGGATGTACAGGATGGATGAAGCAGCTCACAGATGACGGTATCTGCTCCCTTACAGAACAACATTACCCGATTTTCAGGTGTCAGCACTAAAAATGAAAACATTAAGCAAAGTAACCATATAGGCCTACTGTTAAAAGAACTTATCTGGGTCATTGGCAGGAAGCTGTTTCCCATGACATTTGCTTCTGCTATCTTTGGAGGCTGTGATTAATCTTAATTGTCAATTTGACTGAATTAAGAAGCACCTAGGAGATAGTAAAGCACATCTCTGCTGGTATTTGTGATGGTATTTTCAGAGATGATAAGACCATGAGAACTCTGGTCTAATGAATGGATTAATTCCCAGATGGATTCATAATATAATGGCATCATTGGGAGGTGGTAAAAGTAGGAGGTGGGACCTAGCTGGAGGAAGTAGGTCACTTGGTGGTATGTCTTCGGGGGATATATCTTGCCCTAGCCTCTTTCTGTATCTCCTTTCTCTGCTATCTGGCTGCCACCATGACCTCTCTCCACCATGATGGACTGACACCTCTGAAACTGTAAGCCAAAACAAATAATTCTACCCTTTAAGTTGTTTCTGTCAGGTACTTTGGACACAGTGATGCAAAAGTAACTAATATTAAGAATTCAATGAGTGGTCACATGGGATAGGTTATGTGATAAGGGCTAGAGAGAATGACAGAGTAACTTATGGAGCCAGTTCTTCCATGTGTAAAATATCCCTTGTAGAAGACTAACGCATAATCACCCATAACTTTTTTTTTGAGGTGGGGTAGCAGTACTAGGACTTGAACTAAGAGTAGGCAGGTGCTCTACACATGAGCCACACCCTATCCCTTTTTTACTTTAGTTATATTTTGGATAGGTTCTCACATTTTTGCTGGGGGTCAGACTCTGACCCAGATTTTCTACCTTCAGCCTCCTAAGTAGTTGGGATTACAGGCTCATACCAACATACCTAGCTCCACATCTAGCTTCTTATTTCCAAGTCCCAGACCAAGGCCTATACCTAGTAAAAACCAAGGATGAAAAATGATCTTCTTTCTTTTTGTCTGAGGCCAAAACTAAATGAGAGAGCAAGACAGTAAGTATTTCCCCTATACAGCTGTTTCTTAGTATCTTGAGGGATTGGACACCCCTGCCCCAGAAAATGCATTGATGGTTAAGTCTCTCATATAGAATGGCATAGTATTTGCATATAACCTATGCACATCATCCCATATACTTTAAATCAGCTTTAGATTACTTATAATTCTAATACAATGCAAGTGCTATGTAAGTAGTTGTAATACTGTATTGTTTAAGGAATAAGACAAGGAAATCTGTACATGTTCAGTACAGACAATAGACAGCTTTTTTTTGGTGCTCTATAACTGAGCTATACCTCCAGGCCAGACAAAACTTTTTTTTTTTCAAATATTTTTGGTTGAATCCATGGATCCATAGATAAGGAAGGCTGATTGTATTATCTGTATTTACTCCATGCTCAGGCTTTATGAATTTATTACCTATTCCTATCTTGGTTTCAGGGTGCTGACAAGCCACTATCCAGAAATACTAGGGAAGGGACTTAGCATATGGTAGTAAGCCCTCACATGTATATAAGAGAAAATTTAAAGGACATGAGAGAAAAAGTGGGAATGGATGTGTGTTTATATTTGAGGCATGGTACCTGTAAGGCATATGAGTGGGAGAAAGCATTTCTGAGTAGATGAAAGAGAAAGTCAATGTGCAAATGTGTATAAAGGACAAAGAATGAAGAAGGCTGACTAGGAGGGGCACCCACCAATAACAGACATCCTCTTGCGCACATTGCTGAAATCCAAAATAGCCAGCAGCTGGTAGACTCTGGTTTCTCCCATTTCGACCATCGTGATTGTCTCAGATGTGCGAGAACGGAACACAAAGCCAAGGTTTCTGGCAGCAGTGACCAGGGCACCTTCATCTGGGGACTGAGCCTGGTACACCAGCTCACCTGATGGGAGAGAAGAGGGCAACTAGAGCCCACAGAGATGAGCAGCTGAAGTCTACTCAGAAGTGACACCATCTTTCAGGTGGCTTATATAATGATGGAGCCCAGGAGCGGACATTTTTCTTCAAAACTTCCTCATAAGTCTGGTCCTAAAAGGCCAGATTTTATAGAACATGTTTTCTTTTTATTTCCAATATTTTCAACTCATTTCACAGACCTGAGTTAGTATGATAGAGGTACATGGTACATGCAATGTATATAAACAAATAAAACATAAGCAGTTAATTTCCAACTTTAGTTGGTAAAGATGGATCAGGGAACTTGCTAAAATGCAGATTCCTGGGCCCTTATCCAAACTTAGTGAACCTAGGAATCACAAAATCTGGGAAGAGGGTTGAGGAAATTTAATTTTTAACAAATTCTCATGTGCATGGCACAAGGTGCTCCTGCATAAGGTCAGCCACACTGTGGTAAACACCATGATATAAGATTGATGGTTTAGTAAACAAATTTTATGAATGAGTGAATGCTATCACCTTTAACTCACCCTGAGAAGCTAAATGATTCACTCTATTGAATCAGTCTTTCAATCTGATATTACTAAAGATTTTCTGGAACTTCTCTGTTATAGTATTATAATTACCTGTGGTATATTTTGGGTTATTTCTCTTCTGAAGACCAAGTTGATTTTTCAAACAGTCAGGCATCATTGGAATCTTATACTTGGGAATAGGTAGATGAGTAAAATTTTAAACCAGACATAAGATGTTATCAACTCTACAATCAAGAATACTGTCTTGTGTCTAAATAAAGACAAGGCCAAATATGGTTTAAATAATAGCAATGTCTTGGTATGTGGTGGGGTGGGATATCATAGGGCCACGAGATATGGGTTCTTATCTTTGTCCTTCTTTATAATAGGGTTTTCTGCAGGTAATTTAATGTCTTTTAGCTTCAGTTTCCTTCTCTATAAAACTGGGATCGTTTCGCCTGTCTTCTATCTCAGAGGGCTGTTGTGAAGATTACTGAAGATAATATAATGGAAGCAATCTGTAAAACTGTTAACTTTTGTATATGTTGTTGCTGGTAATATTATATTAAGAATATATATATATTAAAGGACATGATTCATTTTGTTGCCTAAATTCTTATTTGTAAGAATTCTTCTTTCTAAGGGCTGGCAGAGAGGCTCAAGTGGTAGAGCACCTGCCTAGCAATCGTGAGGCCCTAAGTTCAACCCTCCAAGTACAGCTGGGGAGGAAAAGAATTCTTGTTTTTAAGAAAAAAAATCTTAATTTATAACCAGTCATTTCTATTCATTGTATTAAATTTGGTTACTAAAGAAACTAAGCTATGTGGGGATACCTTTAAACTATGTAATAACAGAGGATGACTCAACTCATCCTTCAGGATGTTTTGTCAGAGATAGTGGGACTGATCTTGGGGACAATTCAGAGGGATTCTGTGATAGAATTATTATTACAGTTTCAAGACCGGAAGCTCCATAGATGACACCAAGTTTGACTCCCGTTCAATGAATGAATCTTCCTTTAAAGCAAGAGGTTATTTTCTACTTGAATATCTTTAAACTCACTATTTATCTCAATTATCCATTCCATTACTGGACAGTGCTCCCTGTTAGAAAGTTCTTTCATAGATTAAGCTATTACAAATCATATAGAATCACACCCACTCCAACTAGCCTAGACTCTATGACACATTCTCAGTCCATGAGGTCTCAGGCCTTTCCTCACCTTCCACTTTCTCTTCTGACATCACAGTATGACATAATGAGAGGGAGAGGAAAAACAAGTGCACCCAGTGATCTCCTCTTTTCACTGCTTCTACCAAAGTCTTGTCATAAAACGAAAACTTAGGATCAGCCAGTTTGTTGTAGGAGAAGTCGACCTTGTCTCTCTGGAACATATAAGCCAGAACAAAGTTCTCAGCAACAGCTTGACATTTTATAGACAGTCATTTTGGGGTCATTTCTGGAATATGATTAGAACTCTGAGGAGGATGAGAAGAGAAAAACAAGATAAACGACGAAGATATTATTCTAGTTTCTAAAGCACTTGCAGCTGGACCATTCATTTACTCGGGCCAAAAAAGATCCTGAGCAGACCCTTCTTGCCATTTTTACCCTAGCTATTCTGGATGATTAGTGGTGATCTTCAGACTCTAGTCTTCCAAATTCAATCAAACCTGAGGCTGAGAGGGTAACTTCTCCCTATTAGTAAGTGGTGTCTAGGGAAAGTTTTGTTTCTGATTATCTTCTGCCTGAGTTTGGATGCTGAGAGTGGAACAGGTACCAGGTACAGTGGTATTGCTATGTGGCACTTTATCCCACAGGGAAAGGGGGCTAGAGACAGAGACAATGCCACATGACAAGCTTCAGTACATGCTTGTTTGAAAACTTAATTTTGCTTGACCTGTTAACATACCTGATCCTTCACACCTCTAACTCTCATGGTCCCTGAACTTTTGCTTGTGTTTCTATTTTAATCCTTGTCTCAATCCATAGTCTGTGCCTCAATCAAAGACCTAAAATTCACCATTTGCCTTGCTATAACCTGGTTCCTTCAGACACTGACTCTTCTTTCCATTTCAGTTAGATTGCTTATAGCCACCATAGGTAGACACTGGCCTTGAGACTTTCCTATACCCACTCTGCAGTATGATGCTATTAACACATGTGTCCAGCTCATATTAGAACTCTCAAGGATCTTTTCCCAGTTCTTTGTAGTTGTGCCTCTACCTGGGCTGGGCCCTAAGACTCAAGTGCAGATACAATTGTCCTGTTTGGTGCTGTGTTGGGGAAAGGGAAGTTTGTAGTGATCTATTCCAGCAATTTTCTACATCCCATCTAGAGGGAGTTTAGTCAGAGTAAGTATGGTCTCCAAGTCAAACTCTAGTCTTGGCCAATCATAGAGGTATGCGCTCTGGAAATTTTATGTGTTTAGAAATTTAAGATAACCCATTACATTCTAAAATTGAGTTCTTAAACTAGTTCTCTGAAAGCAGAGGTTGGCAAACAATGAAGGATGAAGGTCAGAGAGGAAGGCAAGATCACTGCATTGCCATCTTATTCACAAATATGGTGGCATAGCGACTTTCCACTGGAAATCAGATTTGGGTCAGAGGAAGTCTTCTGGTATGGAGAATACCTTGGAAGTAGCAAGATGAGAGGCAGAGAGACCACTCAGGAAGCTATTCAGTGATTCACATGAGAAATGATAAAGTAGTGACAATAAATCAGTTAAGAGGATGGATTTGAAAATGTGGAGAGCTGGAAGTGGCAGGACATGGAGAATGAGTAGTGAAAGAGGGGAAGAGTTAAGAATAATTTTATATTTCCCAGTTGGACCACTGAATAGACAATGAGATCCTTCACTGAGATAGTGGCAGGACATGGAGAATGAGGAGTGAAAGAGGGTAAGAGTTAAGAATAATTTTATATTTCCCAGTTGGACCACTGAATAGACAATGAGACCTTTCACTGAGATAGGAAACCCAGCAGGAGAGGAAGGGTTTTATTTTGTTTTTGAGGTAGGCCTCAAACTCACTCTATAGCCTCTTGAAATCATGATCTTCCTATTTCAGCCTCTAGAGTGCTGAGATTATAGGCATTACCACCATGCCTGGATAGGAGAAGGTTTTTGACAGTAAAATGGACATACTTGAAAGGAACACAGGTAGAGTAATGAAGGCAGCCATTGTATATATAGTTTGGAAGCTCATGAAAGAGATCCGAGCTACTTCCTCATCTTCCCTTGAAGAAAGTAATATGTGAGAACAATGGACCTGGGTAGGTATAGGACTAAGGCAGGGATGGCTTGGAGCTGAAGTACAACATGATCTGGAAGGAACATTCTTGGGTAAATCTGATGTTGAAGGCCAAACAACCAGTTAAACCCAGTTACCTGAAAGGCAAACCCATATATGATTCAAAATGATAGAAACTAGGGATGTCAGATGAGAGAAAGTAGATTTAGAATTGAGGGCAGGAGACAGCAACTGATAAAACTCTGAGCTGTTGAAACATAGCTAGAAGATAGTTTTTATGGGCTGTCTTTAGTTTTGATCATGTATAGAATGGAACTATCAAGGGTCCTTGGATATGTGGATTTGGAGGTATGAGTAGGTGGGTAAGTAGTAATTATTTGAGGAGACTGTACAGATGTGGAAGAGGTTCAATACCAGAGCATTGGGGAACATCAGCACTTAAGGCAAGGAGAAGAGAAAAGAAATTGAGAAGGAAAACCAAGAAGAGAAGTGTTATTTAACAGAAACCAAGGCATAAGACAGCTTGAAGGAAAAGTACAGTTTAAGACTGTTAAAATCTACACAGAAGCTGGGTCAGGAGATCTCTCCTGTCATGTCCACAAACTATCTTTTCAAAGACCATTAATGACTGATGCAGGAGGATCTCTAGTTTGAGGTCAGCCTGGGCACACAGTGAGACCCTGTCTCAAAAAAAAAAAAAAAAAAAGAAAAGAAAAAAGGAAAGCAGGCATACTAGGAACCAAGTACTTAGAGAGATGGAGGAGGTTTGGGATCAGAGATCACATGAAAGTTTAAAATTTCAGAGTAGCATAATTCTGGGTGATGATGTGGTCACATGGAAATGAGTAGTATAGCTTTTTTCAATCCAAGTTATCTGAAAGTCAGATTCTTTCAGCCATCTGAAAAAGCCTACACTGATAAATCATCCATAGAGATGCCAACACCACCCAAATTATAGTAGTCATTGGGTGGAGAGGGAGAATCTGAGCTGTTTTAAGTCCTCAGTGAATGAAGTGGAGAAGCCAGAAGATTCATAGGTGTTGATGACAAGAAGAGTTAAAGATGAATATACCAAATATCATAGCATCATATGAAGAAAGACTAAGAGAGAAAAAGTAGTGGTTTAAAAGTGGCAGAGGGCAGTGAGAACAGTATCATTGGGTTTATAGTATGCAGAATATGAAAGAGATGGAAGAAAAAGGATATGTTCTCAGGGAAAGTCATGTTTTAATTAAGGCAGGGAAAAGAGACTTTTTTTTTTTTTTCAGTACTGGGGCTTGAACTCAGGGCCTTCACCTTGAGCCACTCTGCCAGCCCTTTTTGTGATGGGTATTTTCGAGATAGGGGCTTGTGAACTATTTGCCTGGGTTGGCTTCGAACCATGATCCTCTTGATCTCTGTCTCCTGAGTAGCCAGGATTACAGGCGTGAGCCACCAGTGCCTGGCTTAACAGAGCATTTTTATGAAGGGATTGAGGTAAGTTTTTTTTATATCAGAATAAAGATTTTATTGATTTAGTGGAAAATGTTTTATGGTCAATCAGTAGTAGAAGAAAGAGGAAGGGGAAAGAAACTCCAGGGAGAATTTACTCTCTTTAATGTATAACCTTCTTTATATTGTCAAGATCACTAGAAGAGCCCCTAGAAGACTATTTATGACAAAACATTGATTTTCCTTTCCCTTCGCAATCTTTTTGGATGAATGGGGGTATTGGAGTCAGTTGTACATAAGTCAAGGAGCTAAGGGTTTGGACTTGGATCTAGCAGACAGAAATAGTGTGAGAAGTGCACTAAAGGAAGGGAGGAAGCTCTAGGAAGGGATGATTAAGCTCAAATCAGTAAACACAGCTGACGTCCAATACTGGAGAAAACAATGGAAATGAACCAGCTAGAGACAGGAAGAATGACTAGGAGGATATTTTTATTTTGTGTGGTAAAGACTGTTGAGTATGTTACAAATCCTGAAGCGATAAAGGAAAAAGATTGATAAGATTTGATTACATAAATTTAAAACTTCTACACAGAAATTTATTTTAAAAACTAAAAACCAAAAGACAAAATGAAAGAAATAATTGTAGTATATGTGCAAGACAAAGGAAGAGTTGTTATTTTTACTATATAAAGAATATTTTCAAATAAAAAAAAAGGGCAAGGAATATGAATGGACAATTCACAAAATAAGTGTAATTGGGCAATAAAGAGATTGGTAACAGGTTAGAAAATAAGCACATAAGAATGATTCAACATAACTAGTAATCAAAGGAAGGTAAACTAACTAATGAGATATCGTAAGCAGAATGGGAGGAGGTGGGGAGAAGCTGATCAGGAAGTACTAAGTAAAAGGTAAATAGAAGCAAGAAGTCCTGGAGTGCTAATTGCATAGGAGGGTGACAACAGATAACAATAATGTCCTGGATATTGCAAAAAGCTAGAAGAAAGGATTTTGAATATTTTCACCACAGAGAAATGATAAATGTTTGAGTAACTAGATATGCTTACTCTGATCTGAACATTATAAAATGTATACATGTACCAAAACACACATGGTACCCATAAATATGTACAGTTTTTATGCTTTTACAGATCAGTTAAAATAAGTTTTATTTATAAGTACAAATATTTATTTTTCACCAATTAGATTTCTATAGAGTAAAAAATTGTTAATGCCCAGTATTGACAAGGACAGGAGGAAAATGAACTGTCACATTTCTTGGTGGGACATCAAAAAATAATGTGATACAAATCTACTTGGAGAGCAGGATGGCAATATTAAATGCATTTGACCACAGCCAGTTTCACTTCTGGAACTTTATTCTAAGGAAACAGAAAAGTGGATAAAAATGTGTGTATCACTATGCTTACCAAAATGCTATTGTAATAGCAAAAGAAAATGGAAAAAAATAAGACACCAAGACCTACTGAAATGGAAAGATGACCAAAATATATTGTCAGGTGAACAAAAGGAAGCTGAAAAGAGTATGCATACTATGAATCAATCAATCAATCAATCTATCTATCTATCTATCTACCTATCTAGATCTAGATGTACATAGGTGTGCATATATACACTTAATGAAAAGCATCTGAAAGGATACACCCCAAAATTTTACATTGGTTATCCAAATTGGATTGAAGAATTTTTATTTTCTGCTTCATACATTTCCATGTCATTTGAATTTATTGTTTTACAAGGACATAGATTACTTTTTAAAAAAATATGGAATGCTTCACAAATTTCCATGTCATCCTTGCACAGGGGCCATGCATATCTTCTCTGTATCATTCCAATTTTTTTTTTCATTTTTCTTTTATTATTCATATGTGCATACAAGGCTTGGTTCATTTCTCCCCCCTGCCCCCACCCCCTCCCTTACCACCCA